GAGGAATTGGCTTTGGCTTCTCTGACAAGTCACGCCTGATCAGACAATCTGCGGGCGGCGCGGAAAATTTGAGACGCCTTCGAACACGAGGACTTCATCCCATGTCAATGTTTGCGATCGGCTCAGGGGCTTAGATTGCGTGCAAGGCTGCCGGTAGTGCTTGTCTTGGCCCGACCATGTCGTTGGTCTTTGTCCCTTACCGGCCAGCCAAAGTCCTGGTTGATGGATTGGAGCCTTGATCAAGTCCCAATATGTGGAAACTTTCACTGAACTCATGTGGAAAGTCTTCGTGCCTGAAGCCATCGTGAGAGCGGTTGCTGTAAGCCTCGAAAGCTGATGATGATTGCGACATTTGTGATTCAGGTGTTCGTACGTGAAGCTTATTTCCCAACGGAGATTCCGCAGCCCTGTTCCCACAATTTCGCATTCAAAGTTCAGACCTGAGGGAAGTGTGTATTGAATCTTCAGGACACGGAGCTCCGTGTGCGCCCGTCGTCAGCTTCAAGGACGAGGCTGCTCCGAGCTTGAGTCGTGCACAAGGAACCGTTGAATAGGCACCGGTGGCCGGCACCGTCAGATTCTACATTCCGGAGAGCGACTTTCCTACTCGATTGCCCCTGAGAAATCTAGCCGAATCTGTAACACTGGAGCTGCCCAAAGTCGGTAGCACTGGAAATGTCACCGGCGTGGCATTGCAGATCCCCAAACATTGTGACGTGACTGTACGAGGTTTCAGGTTCGCGATGTTGGTTCGTCGAGCTGTAAAGGAGTTGCCATGATACCATGGAGGAGTTGGATCAAAGATCTCGTCAGGAGAAGGGAGTTCCAGTCGCGTCTGAATTAAAGTGCTGTCGTGATGTGATGGCACGGAGGAGATCAGTGGAGCAACGGCCCTGTCCGCCACTGTCCCCGTGGTGAACAGTGCGCTTTTGCGAGGTTGCAAGGAAACGAAACGTTCTGGATGCAGGGAGAAGGGCGCCGAGAAACGGGAGAAACGGCCGGTTGAGTCGGAACTTACGGACGGTGGAGCTCATAAACGGCAGAACCTTCGTAGAGTCCTCCGGGGTTTACCAAAGGTGAGGCCGAGGAGTTCTCGGAACGAGATGACTCCAGATAGCCAAACGAGATTGGCAAGTCTTTTCGCGACTGCCACGTTTTTGCGTCCATGTGTATTTTCGGCCTGCAGACCGAAAAGTGATTGCTTCCCAAAAATAAAGAGACCTGCCTTTGGTCAGAAGCCCGCTTATTGAGCCAGTAAGCAACAGGGTGGACCTCTCAAGATCTCGGTCCTCCGAGTAGCCGTGCTATATTTCGAGTGTCTGCTTAGCGGAAGCATGGCAGCCGACCCCCGCCACCGTCAGCCAGTCATCGTGGCTCGAATGCGGATTAGCGGCGGGCAGAAGAGGCGCACGAGGATGGAGTCGTGAGGGGTTGAATAGACCGCCTAGCCGCGCCCACCCGCGATGGTCGAACAGCCTCGAGGAAGAACGGAATGGTGAGGTGACATTATAGACGTTCAAATGACAGACCCGACTCCTGTGAGGGTACCAAAGGCGACCCTGGCACGCCTCGAGCGCCACATTGAAGAGAACCGGTGGGTTGCAGTAAAATAAATGAGGTATTTTGACGACGCGAGAATGAAATGGAACGACAAGTACGAATTCTGTATGCGTATTAGCGGACGTCTTAGTGGGACTCGAGGCTTTTCGAGACAGCTACAGCCTACATGGAGAGCGAAGGTTTGCAAAACAGGCGACAGAGTTGGCACCATGTCGGCTATCTTGGACCCAGTCCCATAGGATCTTGGAGGGGTTCAAAGATTCCACAAAGCCAAGAACGGGCTCGGAGACAACCAAGAGTCTTGGCTTCTGGAGACCCGCGCGCTTTGCAACGTATTACGACGTGCTTCAAGAGCCAAGAGGGTAACCAAGAATGACTGTCAGCGACTCGCTGGCAGACGCCATCTGCTCTCTGGATGACAGCGCCGTCCAAGTGACTCAGCCGCGCCGTCTATTTTGTTGAAATTCCTTTCTCTGATGAGTGGGACTAAACCCGCGCATCACCGCGCCAGGGTCAGCACTTGGTTCGTGATCTTCGGAAGATGAGATTGCCGCGGCGTTGGTAAGTTCTGACTTGTGGCTGTGTGGCACGTAGGATTGTCACTCTGCTCTCGGTGTTGTGTTCTATGATTCCAGACGCAGTCAGACGGGTGGGACTTGAGCCATGCGATGCCATGCCATGCGATGTCATGGACTCGAGGTCGCCAGGCTCACCGTGCAGGGTCCTGGTATTCCACAACTTGTGGCCGCCTTCTACGAGGCCAAGATCAGCATAGGCCGGCCGAACTCAGGTTGACCGCAGGAAGAAATGACTGCCCGTGACGGTGTACGATGTGTGGACGTGCAGCACTGCAGAGAACGTGGTGTGCCCTGGCCGTAGACTCATCCGCAGTAGAGGCAGAAGAAACGGTCGGAATTGTGAAAAGTGACGGTTGACGGAAGAAGCTGCAAAGGGCCGGCAAACAGGCCCCTCCCAGCCACTGGCAACCCCACCACTTTCTCTCCTGCCGTCTCCAGGTCCGTTGGTCAGCTGCCTTGGTGCCTTGCGACCTTAGACGCGCATTGCGCCAGGCATCTCCGCAGTCTGCCCATGTACGTACCACTATCCTTGAGTGTACGTACCTCTCAGACTTCTGCCATGCTCCGTCCTCCTCCTCCGCGACCTGCCGTTTTCTTTCCATTCTCCTTGGCCTCGACCCCCTTCGTCTCATGTCCCACCAGGAAGAGGACAACCTTCTTTTCTGCCTCGAGGGATTTGTCCAAGGACCCTTGTCTATCCATTCTGTCGGCCTGCCTTGCGAGAAACCGACTCTCTTCCCCCTTCTGGGTGGCACAGGAAGATGACACACATTTCCATCTTCATCGCGAAAGATACCCTCCCGCCTCGCGTTCTACCTCCAAGAGTCTAAGTACCTTATTATTAAAGAAAGTTAATTCTTTCTGAGTTATAAGTATAAGAATATAGTTTTAATAAAATAATATAATACCTACTTAGTACTTAAATTAAGATACTTTTTTAAGCTTATTATAAAAAAAAAATAATTATATTACTAATTACTTATTATTAAGGTTCGTAATATTATAGTTTTAATTATAATAGCTTTATTTATAATAAATAAAAAGTTTAATTATAAGTCCTTTAAAAGCCTCTTTTTAAAAGTTATAAAAGTTTTTAAGTTAAGTTAAAATACTTACTAAAATATTAATAACTAAACTAACCTTATAATAACGGCTTTAATAAAAAAACTAAAAAATAAACTAAGAAATAATACTAAAATTCTCGCTAACGTTAAGTACGATTTATAAAGAATAGTAACGTAATTATAAAATATTAATAATATATTTTATATTAAAAAAATTATTATTAATATTAATAAAATAAATAGGGCCGTATTAATATAATACCTTAGTTTTTTTTTATAACTCGAGGATTATAACTTTAAATAGTATTAAAAGTTTATTAAAAAGCTTTTTTAAATATTTTAATATATTTATTACTATTTTTATAATAATAAAACTTTTAATACTTATATATAAGCATAGGTTACTTATTTTTAAATAATAATATTAGCTTATTAATAAGCTATTAAAACTACGATTCTAGCGATTTTTTAATAAGAGAGAGGGTAGAATAAAAAAAAGGATAGGTAAGAAAAGGGTTAAGGTTAAATAGTGCGGAATTCGAGGGTAGGGTAGCGTTTATATGTACTGCGGTAATCCTCTAGTAATGCAAAACGATGGAGTTAAACAGTGACCTCCAAGAGTCAAAGCCACCTACCTACCTTGGATCAAAGGATGCCCTCGATGGTAACGGCAGGGTAACCCTTCAAGACGGCAGCGACATGAACCTCCAAGCATGGACCAGGGGCAATGGCACGGTAGGTAGCATCAGCAACACAAACTGAGCATTGGTACATTCTCAATGGGTTGCGTCCGTGATTCCTTGCCTCTATCCGGTCTGTCTTTCTCGCTCTCTCTTCAGTGTCTCCATCCTGCTGCACTCATTCATCATGGACTAGATCCAGATGCCATCATGTACCCTGGCCAGGAGTCCCAAAGGCACGATCCCCCCTTGCTCCGCCTTGCATTCTGAGAAGGAAGCCTACCTTGTCAGACCCGAACCCCAAGTCTTAGTGCGCCTCCTTCGGGTGTGTGTGTGTGTGCAAGTGTGGTGTGGATAGATGGATCTCTACCCTCACCTTCACACTGAGATGGGTGGCAGGGTTCGGTCGTCCGTCCGTCTCATCCACAACAACTCTCTTTAGTCTTTTCTCCCCCTTCCTACCAAGCTTTCGAGCAACGAGCAACAGACTTTGATGATATAAAGTCCATCTCCCAGTTCCGTCCCGTCTTCTCCATCTCCCGGCCCGTCTCACAGCATAAACCTTCCTCATCTCTTCGACGATTTCCTTGTTTCCAACTCTCGATTCGAATCACTGCTTCTCAGAAAACATTGTTCATCCATCCTCATCTGTCTCCCAATTTCATATTTAGTAGTACCCGTCACCCACGTTAGCTCTGCATCTCTGTCTCGGTCAAAGAAGCACCACCTCAACCACCCCAACCCCATCGCAGCGCGTTTAAGCGCCGTACCTATTCTCAGCTCAAGGAATTGCTCCACACACCAATCCCGTCCCCCCGGTCTTGTCTCTAAACGGCCCGCCGCATTCCCCATTCCCTGACCGGAGCCGACGCAACCAGCCTGTTTCCCTCCAAGGAAGCGATCTAAGAAAAGAAATCACTCCAATCTCTTATTCCGGCCCTCGTGCGCGTGTCGTGCATATTTTCGGTGTGGTGGCCTGGTTGCTACTGCATATATCTTTTACTCTCCTCCCGCCTACTACTCGCGTTTACACATCTAATCATCCTTCCAACACCCGCGGATCACCACCCTCTTCTCCACCTCCTCCTCCTCCAACAGCCACCCAGTCAACAGCCAACATGCTCGCCAAGACATTCCTGTTGCTGGCCTCCCTGGCTCTCGTCTCCGCCGCCCCGGCCAAGAGACAATCCGGCTGCGTCTCCAAACCTACGGCTCCGACCCTCCCCGTCAACGGCAATGGTATGTAAACCAACAACACCAACTTCAAGCTAAGAAGAAAAGCATCACTAACACCCACACCTCAAGGCGTCGAACTCCCCTCCCCGGCAGCAGACCTGGTCCTCAAGCACATCGCCCTAGGCCACGGCATCCAAAACTACACCTGCACCTCCGTCAACGCAACCGCCATCACCGCAACGGCAACCGGCGCCCTTGCAGGCCTCTACGACGCTCAACCCCTCTACCCCGCCACCGGTCCCGCATCCCTCGCCTCCGTCGACATCTTCAACGGCCTCACCACAAACGCAGTCTGGTCCACCCCTCTCCCCCTCACCTCCGACGGCACCTCCAAATTCGGCGCCTCCGCCACCTCGCCCTTCCCGGCCAAAGCCGACCTCGTCATGCCCGGCATCGCGCCCATGAAGCAGCTCGGCGTCCACTTCTTCGACAACACGGGCGTGCCCACCTTCCAGGTCGGCGAGGACTTGTTCAGGGGCGCAAAGCTCAACGGCACAAAGGCCCCGGCCTCCGCTGACGTCGGCCCGGAGAAGTCTGGCTCCGTCGACTGGCTTTTGCTTGGCGACAAGGGCGGCAGCAAGGGTGTCACTGCCGTCTACCGCGTCGTCACTGCCGGCGGCGTCGCGCACCAGTGTACCACCCCCGGTGCCACCGATAGCGTTCCGTACGCGGCGTACTACTGGTTCTACGGTCCCAAGGCATGAAAAGAGAGCCTTGAATCTCTCACTGGGATGACTCTCCAGGACGAGTCTGGCGTTTAAAAAACTAAATCGGGGTTACAACGGCGTTCAACGGTTCTCGGATACCGAGGATTCTTTTTCACAGAACCCGGAACAAACTTTTCTTCTTCATCATTCCCTCACCAAATTCATATTTGGATTATATACCCCCAGCACGGACGGATCACGGGTTCGGGTACACTTAAGACATAATGTGGCTATTGACTTACTCCACTCGAGGAGGGAAAGCATCGCAGATAGATGTTGGGGCTTCATATGCTATCACTCTCACTTTTTATTTCAACTGTATCTACTTTGGCGTTTGACGGTATATAGTCTCATCGGGGGCAAACAAACTACTTATTTACATCTCACACCTCTCTGGTTACGAATCGTATTGTGCAGTGACAGCCATTTGGACTCCGACCCGCTCGCTCTGCGTTACTGCTTCTTCCTATCATGGTCATGACGTAAACTTGCTTGACGATAGCATGCTGTCAACTTGTCAAGAGTCCAGGACATACCAGCAGAACCTGAGAAAAGCCCGCCTGATATTCTCAATTGGAACTTGCATGAGTATGCCACCATCTAGGCCACCAGTGCACCATTCCACATAACCGAGATGGGTAGAAGCGTTCAATCCCTGCGGACACATCACACACGAACAAAGATCAAGAACCGACAAGTAGCCGCCCAAGGGGCGATAGCACTACAAGCGCGACATCGCATGATAGGGAATTAAGTAAATTTGGGGGCTGCTGTCATCTTTGTCGTGTTCATTCAACCCCTCGGGCGATCCAGTCTCCCAGTGTTTCGACTTTGTCCTCCTCTTTTCTTCTTCCTTCTCCTCTCTCCTCCAGATGGAAGAGCGGCCGTCATCAACATCAATTCCACCGTCTTCTAACGCTGATCTCTCTCCTGCTCCCCACCTGACGTGTAAAATCGCGGAAAGACATCACATCCAAAACAAAATTCTGAAATTGCCCGCCAGAGTCTGCAAACCAAACACCGATTTTGCTAGTCGTTCATGCGCGATTCCGCGCAGCGCACCAATCCATGAAGAACTCTCGACGGCTTTATCTCCGGTGATCGAGGCCGCCAGCAAGGTCCGCCTCCAGGCCGCCTCCTTGGCCGCCGTACTCCTGAGGCCGAGGGTCCGAAGAGCTCCATCCCTGGTTGCCTCCGGTGGGAATTGGCACTTGGCCGCCACCCTGCTGTCCAGCAGCCTGCGTGCCGGCCTGGGTAGCTCCGGGGACGGTGCGAACCAACTGGCGGAAACGGTAGACCTCATCCAGGATCATCTTACGCATGTCGCCAACATCTTCAACGACCTCAAAGTCGAAGTTGAATGTCGTGGGGCAGTCGGGCTCGTCGGAAGCATCATGCCAGATGTGCAGGTAGGGGTGCTCAAGAGCTTGCTCGACGCTGATACGGCTCGAGGGGTCAAAGGCAAGCATGCGATCGAGGAGGTCGAGGGCGTCAGGGTTGGCCTGAGGGAACAGGCTGGGGAAGGTTTTCTTAGGCATGAAAGGAAGGTTACGGACGTATTCCTGGGCGCGGGGCGAGCCGATGCGGGACAAAGTCTCTTCGTTGGGGGTTCCGAGAATGTGCAGGATTTGGTTCAGCTGGTCGACGTAGTCACGACCCTTGAAGAAGGGACGGCCTCCGAGAAGCTCGGCCAAAATGCAGCCAACGGACCAAACATCAACTATCGCGTGGTTAGCATCTCACTCAAATGCAGTTATGCAACGCCTTCTGGGATACGTACTAGCTTTGGTGTAGCTTTGGAAGCTCAGCATGATCTCGGGAGCACGGTACCATCTGGTAGCAACATATTCCGTCATGTAACCAGCATTCTCCTCAGGATCGACGGAGAAGCCACGCGCCAGACCGAAATCGCAAATCTTGAGCTCGCAATCGGCGTTGACGAGCAGGTTACCGGGCTTCAGATCACGGTGCAGGACGTTGGCGGAGTGGATGTACTTGAGACCACAGAGGATCTGGTAGATGAAGGACTGGAAATGGGCGTCGGTCAGCGGCTGGCCGGATCGGATGATGGCTGCCAAATCGCATTCCATGAGCTCTGTAGCAGAACAAAAGAGTTAGCACAGCTGATTCGACCGGGGCGGCGGATGCACGCGATAGAAAGCGTACCCTCGTAGAGATATGTCTCGTTGAAGTTATCGGGTCGGGGGATGTCCATATCGTAGAGGCAGGTAATCTGTCAAAGCGGGCAAGTCAGCTTTCATTTTCTGGCGTGGGCGGTGGTGCAGCCGCGTGGCGATGAGGCTGCGCGGGGTTCTTGGGACAGCTTCGAAAGCGGGCATAGGGGAAGACTCACGTTGCGGTGTCCCCTGAAGTGCTGGAGCAGCTTGATTTCGCGCAAGGCGCGCTTGGCCAGGATCTTCTTGCTGAACACATTTGTGACCTTCTTGATGGCGACGCCCTCCTGGGTCTGGTTGTTCACGGCGGCGCTGTGTGAGGGGAGTATTCGTCAGCTTCTTGGCCAAATGGCGGGGCAGCGGTGGTGGCAGCAGCATCAGCATCAGCGCCAGCAGCGCAGACAGCGACAGCCGATGGGATGAGGGGAAGAGCAGGTTAAAGGTCGCACGCACCAGACAATGCCGTAAGCTCCCTGACCGAGCTCCTTGGTTACGGTGTATCGCTCGTCGACGATGAAGTCCTGGTTGAAGACCTTGAAGACCTTGCGTCCTTGCAAATCAGCCATGTTTGCGAGGTTTGTGTGCTGTTCGTTTGGGGGAGGTTTTCGAGTTGGTGTTGGGGTTGGAGCTGTTGTTTTTTCGAGCTTGGAGGATTGGCGTGTCGGGCTTGTCGAGAAATCGAGGGGTATCTTTGGCGAGTCAATCGAGGCAAAGGTGGGGAAGCAAGCAAGGAATGCGATGCGATGCGACAGTTGCGGAACAGACAGGGTAGCGGGATCAACCGAAAAGAACGGCTCGTCCAAGCAGTGACAACAGCAGCAGCAGCAGTGACAACGCTCGACGCGAGTGGGCGAGGGGGATAGCAGGCTGTATTATAAAGGTAGGCAGAGCAGCGTCTGTTGTTTTCTTCGGAATCTGTCCTCGGTGAAATATGCTGGATGACAATGCGGTGTCGCCGGAACAATTCTCGTCTTTGTCCCGCAGTGGAGGGGTGAGTTGGGATGAGATGTGAAAGGAAGAAAGACGGGAGGAGAGGAAGCGAGCAGAGGGAGGAAGGTCCAAAGATATTGTGCGATTCCTCAGGTACCTAAGGTACGGTAGGTAAGGAAAGTAAGGCCAGGTTAGTTAATGGGCAGGAGCAAGAGATAAAGTAGAGGTACCACACCACAAAGTGTACCTTTCACCTTACGTCTTAGGATAGGACGACGGGGAAATGGCCTTGAGGGGAATTGGGGAGGGGATGATGGGACTGGACAGGATCAAATGGGATGGCCAGACCGGGAGACAGCGCCTTATGGGATGGAGCATTCACAGTTTGAGGCAAGAAAAGGCGATAAAATGGTCAAAGGCACGAGCCGAGGGGGAGGGTTCCATTTGGGAGGGACTGTCATGGACCTGACATTTGGATAGTGGACTTAAATGGACCTGACCTTCTGGGTCCTTGAACAGGGACAGAAAGCAACAAGGGAAAAGGCAGATGGAAAGGGGGGGCAAGGCAAGCAAGCAGCTGTATTGACACACTCCATTTCATTGAAGACAAGTGGGATCTGTGGGCTGGCTTGACTTGAGGATTGTAACTGGACATTGGATGCTTGAGTCCTGACACCTGGAGATGATGAGACTTGGCCCAAGGCTGAGTGCAGTGAAGTATTGGTAGACTACCTACGAATACCTAGTACCCTGGATGATAATAATAAGTGTGTGGATGTATCCGTACTTCTTCTTGGTACCTTGTTCAGATTGATGGTAGGATATTAGCAGGAGAATGGATGGAAGAGAGGGGTGAGAGGGGTATGGGTACTGCGTAGTGGGCTGAAGCTCCCCCCCATCCCGTGCTCTTGTGTCTCTGCCTTACGAGGAAGCCCCGACCACGTCGCAGCACTCAAGGTACTGGTGCTACAGTAGTACCTGGTGCCTAGCTACCTTACTTGAGTAAAGTATCCGTAGTTAGTCGGCTGTCTTGAATCTAGTCTAACCAATATCAAGCAAATGGATACATCAAGAGCTCAAGATCTTGAGCTTCCTGCGTGGGAACATGGAAAAACTGCAAGGCAAGGTACAAGGTACAAGCTGCTGCTGACGTTAGGCCGGAAGCGACTTGGCGTGAAGGGACGTGTGGACCCACACTACGATCCCCAGTCCCGCACTTGATTTGCTGGCTGGGTCTTTGTGAGGCCTCTCATTGGCTCCATCCTCAGATGAAAGGCTCCATTTACCTCGGGCCAGTAACCGCTGAGCATCGTGACTGGACTTTTGGAGATGCAGCTTTTCGCAACCGCGCGACAAATCATCGCCATGGATCGTACAGACCACCCTCACTCAAATCCTCGGTTGAGAATTGAATATGGGTCCAAGGCTGGCCTGGCGGCTTTTTACACGGGCAGAAACGACCTCATTTTCGCAGATATATGCAGCGTGAGTACCTGCACCAATGACCGGCTCTAACACATCAATCAAGATTCTGCAATGGGGAAGAGAGTTTGGGACACGAATACTGCAATTTCTTTGCTTGATGCCTGGATGCCGCATCCCAACACAAAAGGAACAAAATTTGGTCTTTGGATTGCAGTGGCAGCTCAGCGCCGGCTGAAGAGCCCCAGGACTTTGGACCTGTAAAGTGAGACACTTTTGACTGTCAGACCTTCGTCCTGGCCCGCATTTGGCCCAGATGTGAGCACCGTCAAAACTTTGAACTGAAGGCCGATTCAGCCGCGCCTCATCCACAATCATATAGGTCGGAACGAGACGAACCAAGCAACTGCACCCAAGGCAGGTTGCTGAAAATGCGAGCTTTAGGCTACTCCTCTCTTCCATGGTCAAAATGCGCCATTGCATTATCATGTAAGCTTAGAGGCGTCAGCGTCAGACACATTAAAGATTCCTCATTCGCAGGATCCCGAAATATCGCACATCATCCAACATCACAGCCCTCGAGGGATCTAACGTAAGCAGCTCGTCTACCGTCTTTTGCGCAGTCATCCTCGACGGCGTAGGTAAGCTACCTCCCGTTATCAGGCAGCACTACCATAGCAACCCAGGTACATCGATGTGTACTGGACAAATAGGGCTGAAGGATCTCTGATCCATACCACGAACATCTGCTCAGACAGTGCTGGTTTCCAAATATTTCTTTCCCTTGGGCCACCTGGTGCTCTGCCATCTTCGTATGCGATGCCAAGGCTCAAGTGCCTAGCTGCTGCCGCCGCCAATAACGCTAGCTTGCGTGTAGCCGACATCTCGAATCCTATTTCGCTTGGGCGAGGATATTCTGCCAGCAGCTCCCGCTATCCCGCCCCCAAGTGTGGCTGCGGCAGGCCCTACCTCCGAGCCTGGAGGCTAGCTGCCCATACCTACCCACTTACCTACCTACTTACCTACTTACCCACCTATAACTACTACTTCGTCGACCTCGCCGTCGCTACCGCTACCGCTATTACTAATTAAAACTATTCCTAACGTTAATATATTATAAAAAAAGAATAATTATAAAATTAACGATCTTTTTATTTACTAATATATAGCTAATTATAATAATTACGGCTATATAAAGTACGACTACTTACTTTATAACTAATAATTCCTTACCCTATTTAATATTAAAATAGTACTTAACGAGGCTATTTACGAGGCTAGTTTTATAATCCGAATTATTTAATATAAGCTCTTTATTAAAATACTAACTACCGTTACTTATTATTATAATTATAGCCCGCGTTACGATTAAAAATAGTAATATTTCGTAAAGTTAACTTATTTAAATAAGTATTATAAATCCTTAACCTTATCTATAAACTATTATTAATAAATTACTATTAGCTTTTTAAGTAGTAATTAGCTCTTTTATCCTATTATTAATAACTTTTATAACTATTATAACTACTTATTTAATAATACTAACGCTTTTATATATTATTACTATACGCTACTATATAATAAAAAAGACTAAATCGTTAACTAATAAAATAAGAGTATTTAACTTATTTAAATCTTTTTAAGCTTATAATTAAAAAATAGCAATTATAATAGTATTATTACCCGTAATATACTTAATATATTAGCTACTTACTACTATAACGAATTAGGTAATAGGACCCCTATTAAGTAGTTATTTAACTAATTATATAATTTAATAAAGTACTAATACCGCTTTTAATATAATAACGCGAGCTATATTATAAGCTTATTTATCGTACTTATTATTACGATTTCCTTATTTTAATAATACCCGGATATTCTATTAATAAATTCTATATATAAAACTAACCGATTTAATATACCGTTATTTAATATTTATAAAGTAACTAATAATAATTATACTTTTTAAGTTACGAGCTACTTTTTATTTAATAAAAAGGAAGCTAATTATTATTAAGTTATTAACTAGCTATTAGTATTACTCCGGGCCTACGAAATTCCCTTTTTATAAGTTATATATACGGATTATAAAATTACTCTATTTAATACCTTTAATAATAATACCTAATTTAAAATAATATTATATGTACTTTATTATTAATACGTTAATCTTAACGTACTAGCCCAGACCTAGTATTACTTTAGCCTAGCTACGAGGGACGAGACTAGTATAATTATATATAACCTTTATTTTTAGTAATTCCTTATAAATTAAAATAATCTCTTCTATAGCTAATTAATAGCTATATATTACGACTAATTATTCGAATTTTAAATTACTAAGTACTTTATAATAATAATTAATTATATTATTAATACTTAGCTTAAGCCGTAGTATAAGAAACTCGTACTTACTTAGGTTAACCGAATTAAGTACTTTAGTTACTTAATTACGTTAATTATTAAATCCTTATATACGAATATTAAAATACGAGTCTATTATTATATAAGCGACTTTAAAGCTATATTTAATAAATTAGTTATTTTTTAAATAAGTTAAGTAGCTATAATTAGTACTTATTAAACCCGTTACTAAACTAAAATATTAAGTATTATTATGAGGTTATTTTAAAAAAAAGTACGTTTATATATATATTATAATACCCTTAAATAACTTTTATAAAAACTTAGTACGCTAAGTAAATAGCTAAATTTAGGTTTATTAAAAAAACTATTAAAAAAGTGCGTATACTATTTAATTCGAACTACTTATAAGCTACCTTATTACTATATTCTTTAGTAATATATTAAAAATAGTACTTTAATATTATTAAAAGAGATTTATTTATATTAGTTTTAATAATACTTAGAGCTTATTATTAATAATAATACTTCTATTTTTTTACTTAATCTTTTATAAATCTAAAATAAGGGTCGCTTATAGGGCTTTATAATAAATATTATAATAGTTATAATAAGTAAGTTAAAAAAGCTAGCTATTAATTAAAATACTTTTTTTAAATAAGAGCCCTTTATGTTTAAGTATAAAGAAGTTACTAAACGTATAAAAATAGTACTTATATTAGCACTACTATTATTAATAATATTTTTAATACTAAGTAGGGCTACTTTTACTTAATAAGGCCTTAAAATTATATATAATTTTAATATATACAAGCTTAGTATAGAGATATAATAAAAGTACTAATAAGCTATTACTAATAAAGTAATTAATATAGTTAATAATAATACGATTAATTTTATAAAAGCTCCTTAGTTATTAACGTTTATAAAATTACGATCCTAATTAATTAGTAATCTTACGTAGTTAGATATATTATAAAATCTAGCTAACGAGGATTATATTTATAATATTAATTTTATAATAAAAAGTAAAATAAATAAACTTATTAATAAGTACGAGGCTAAAATAGAGTATAAGGCTAAAATAGAAGAAGTTATTAAATTACGGGCTATAGGCTATATAAAGTAATTAATAATTAATTAAGTAGTTAATTAAGTAGTTAATTAGGCTACTTCGTTAATTATATTAAATTAGGCTAATTCGTTAATTATTATACTTTTTACTAAAATAATTTAATTAATTATAAGTTAATTAACGGCCTTTAATTAGTTTAATTTATTTAAATACTAACTATGTAGAACCTAGCTTATGTATATACCCAAGACCGGCGGTCGTGTGGCGGCCGTAGCTATACTTAGTAGTAGAATAGCGGGAGCTGCTGGCAGGATATCCTCGCCCTTTCGCTTAGGCACCTCGACCCCTCGAGCTCTCTTCAACGGCGTCTACGGCTCCATCCTCATCTGGCCGTCTTGCCGTTGTCCTGCACTTGGGACCTACATTGGCTGGCAACTGCATGGAATCTAATCTTCTATATGCATCTTGTAGCTGTGGAATCAATCAAACCAAAGACACGCTTAAATGCTCCTCTTTTCTCTGCCTTTCCTTCTCTAATAATGCAGCATGATCAATCGGGCAGCGCGGCAAGCTGTTCCCAATGGCCTACCCATCCCTCTTGCCCCTGTCCTGGCGCCTTGTCGTGGACAAGATGATCGTCAACGACAAACCCATATTTGGCACCCAGCCAGTCAGATCTCTGCTGGAACGCGTGACGCCGCTCCCAAGTCGTGTTTCGCGGCGCGTCGCCGGCCCTTTATCCTCATCCATCTGGCTCCAGTGCTGTCTCCACCGCGGTCGCAAACCCGCGATCCTTCTATGCTTTAGGGTCGACATTGGGGAAGACGTGCTTTAAAAAGTTGGTCGAGAACCGCGTGCACTGCTCATAGGCCTTTGCGAAGCCCTCGTCGCCACCGTAGTAAGGGTCGTTGACCACCTCCGACCTCGGTCCTCCTGAAAATTCGCCAAATAACATCACCTTGGCCTTTGAATCGGTGTGGCCTCGTTGTTGTAGGTTTTGGAGGTCTCGTAGGTTGGATCGGTCCATAGCGAAGACGTAGTCGAACTTGTTAAAGTCTGAGGGCGACACCTAAACATTGTGAAAGCGTGACGGTCAGCAAGTCTGTTCTCTCTTCAGACCCGCCCGGGCGCACCCTGTGAGAGAGGGAGCACCATCGTACCTTGCGACCAGCGTGGTAGTAATCCGTTATGCCGTGGTCTTCGAGCGTCGCCATAGTTCTGTCATCTGGAGGATCGCCGACATGGTAGGCCGCTATCGTTGCGCAGAAAGACCGCGTCAGCTTTGCTTTGCGCACGAGAAGTGGTAGAGGAATTGGGTTCATCATGACGTATCCGCCATAATTCGTACCTGTGCCGCAAGAATCCACCTTTGAGATGAGGCCCTTGTACTGAGGCTTTTGCGCAAAGTTGCGAAACACGCCTTCTGCCATTGTCGAGCGGCAAATGTTGCCGAGGCAGACAAAGAGGACTGATACCGGTTGTTCCGTCATGATTTCTCTGTAGTTGTCTAGGGGCAGTGTGATGTGAAGGAGAGTGGAAGTTGTCGCGCCTTTAGCCAAGGTGGACTTTGTTCAGGTCCGACTGCCCCGCGGCCGCCAATGTGGGATGGAGGGGCACTGGTGTACCGTGTCTGAGTAATCAGACCTCGCACGGCAGGCGCTGTAGGTGGGTCCGCCACTTCGTCACCGACTTCTTCGCGGAGCCAACGATTCCGTCTTATCATCAACCACCTCTCCAATCCCGACTTACATATATATCGCTCGCTACCAGACTTCGCATGCTTTGCTATTCGCCTCTAACCCAACTTAACTTTGCACTTGTCTGCAAGTAAGATCGAAAGAGTCTGGCAGCTCGCCGTCACCCAACTTTATGCTTTCTAACCCCCAGTACGAGAGAATACGATGTTACCCACGCGAAGCTGGGCTAGAGTCGTGGCACCACTGAGAAAGGTTTTCTCATATCACAGATTGAAGTAGTTCTGTGGCTCGACAGCTATGCCGAGGAAACAAAGTTGGGATGGCTCCAATTCGAGAGCCGAACTCTGCAGTCTACGGTCGAACCAGCAACAAGACAGGCACCCGCTTCGGCCGTGCACCCGTCTAAGTTATTGAGCTCGAATTATCGTTCAGCATGCGTGGCTGCAATCAACTGTGAAAACGGTGACCACCTCAAGTGGACGTCGAGAATAGAGGTGAACCTCCACGGCCGCTGTGAGGGCGGCTTGCGAGGAACGAAACAACATCCCACGTGCTAACGGCTTCGGATTCGATACCTCATCTCGCCGCCAATCTTCTGCCCGGCACTCCGTTTGCATTCCTATGCTCTACAATCGCTGAGCAACCCATCGGGTCGGGCACCTGCCAAGCTCACGACAGATTTCAAACTGCTAGGTACTCGGATTGGGGCAAGTTGGTAACTGGAACGGGAGTGTATGGAGCAACGACCAGCTTGAGACTGTCGCTACGGTTTGACATTTGCCAATCCTCCTGAGTATGAGGAGTCTCGAGGCCCGGAACAATCAGTTGCTTGCCCATCTAGCATCATATCTCTGAGTAACGCGTTTCCTACAAGCGCACGACAACGTGAGAGAATCCTCGTGGCGCCTCCCATTCGCCACAAGGATGAAGGCTTTTTCCAGCTGAAGGTCAAATGGCATTCTATCAGGAGAAGAAACTGCTCAAGGCAGACACTGCTTGGGCAAACACGATGAAGCTAGCGGCTCACAATGCGTGAATGTCCGCTAGAGGTAGACGCTCCACGTTGGTCGATTGGTGGATAAGAGTGTGCAATCAGAGTCTGCGAGGCTAATGAAAAGGATGAGGAAACCAATTTCGCGTGGCCAATAGACCCGGAACGCACGGCCTCGGTCATCCGGTTGATAGCTACGCCTCCGAAAACACCACGTCGGTTGTTCTTCACGTCTGATCATGCTTGACTCATGATCCCCCAATCTTACGTTTGGGGTCGATTACATTTCTCTCCACGAAAGGCCGCTGGCTCGATAGCTGAAAAGTGCGACTGGACGAGATAACTCGCAGAGACTGGCAAGCATTCGTCCGATATTCTGGTCGAGGCACGGGAGGGCACGGGAACACAGGCCACACACCATGCGAGAAGCGTCGGACGGCTAATGCAGGTGTTTCTCAGTGCATTCCCTGCACCCACGAATGGAGCACTTCGATTGGCCAAGCGTCTGATCTTCCTCTTTCCGACCTGCAGGTGACAGGGGCCTGCGGGAAGCTTAGTTGATGCCGGATGAGCTTAACCAACTTCCCCTGAGCCTGCATTCCTCGGAGCGAAGACCCAGGCAACTGGTCGTCAACGTCATGTATCTGAGACCTTGAGGGCGCATTCGTCGGGAAAGATGAACAGCTACTCGGAAAAAGTCCAGACTCCAGCGATTTCACAAGAGAGCATCTCAAACCTCAAGCTGTTCAGCTCCTTCAGCCTCCAGGGCCCTCGCATGCGCTTCGGTTTCCGCGCGCAGACGTTTGCGGAAGATCGACCACAGCTCGGAACCGGAGGATGGAGGATTGATGCTACCGACTGACCCAGAATCCCCTCTAGCCGCCTTTGTTCACGGTCAGAGGGAAGACTAGCACCTGCGCCACGACTACTAGACAACACTGCAAAACGAGCCAGTCCGAGCGGTGCATTTGGTGAGGGCTCCAGCGGCTTCACGCCAAGTGAGCTGTGGCGGCCGATCATCTCTAGACTGACAGTAGACGTTCTGCCACAGAACGGATGACAAGGCTCGAGTGAGCAGCTGTCTGAGGGGGTTTGGCCCGCTCGGTTGAATCCCTCACCAATAATTCCCATCACTGTCCCATAATCCCCATCCGTCGTCTTGCCTGATCCGGGGTGCGAGACAGCTATGGCGCGCCGGCGTAGACCGCGTCTTGGCTACGTTTGGAGCTCTCGGCGGTTTACCTCTATGAGCTTGTGCCATTCCGGCGACCGGTTGCTGTTGATGCCACAGTCTTGGCGTCTCTTCCGATGCTCTTTATAAGACCACTTTGTCCTCTCTCGCGATCGGTCCGCTACTTTATTCTACTTTGCCTTTGCTCCTACACGCCTTAGCAGCTACTTCATCACACCTCGACATCCCGAATTTACTTCGATCCAACCTCGGCCCCGAACCATCACAGCCAACCGCCAAGATGAAGTACACCGTTGTCGTATCTCTCCTTGCCGCCCTTGTGGCCGCCGAGACCATCGATCAGCTCGTTGCCGAGATTCCCACTTGCGCGGTCACTTGCATCCGTGATGGTGCCCAGTCTGTCAACTGCGATATCACAGACTTTGCCTGCTCTTGCGGAAAGGTCGAACAGCTTACAGCCAAGGTCGTGCCCTGCCTTGCTTCCTCCGGCTGCAGCTCGACAGATCAAGCCAGTATGTGATCCCACAAAGCATGAGGAAGGCATTCAGGTTTTTGAACAACAGAGCTAACACATCTCCAGCGGTACTTCAGCTCGCCTCTCAGATCTGCGCCCAGGTCGCCGCAGGAGGCACATCTTCCGGCACCGCCTCTGCTGGCTCCGTCACCGCTGCCGCGACTACGGCTTCCGGCACATCAACCTCCTCCCGCAGCGGCACCGCAACAGGAGCTGCCGTCACCACTACAACGTCACCGGCCGCCGCTGTTCGGGCTCAGGTCGCTGGCTGGGCTGGAGCCATCGCCGCTGCCGCTGCGTTCGCTCTCTAAATTCGCCTTTCTCACCTACCAGTTGTGGCTTTGATTTAAACAACATCTTTACTTCATCCCTTGTAATTGATATACCCAATGCAAGAGGAAAGATTGTGGATTGCGGAGTTTAGCGGGAAAAAGAGAAATAGCCAGCACACCTGACGATGGAAGTCTTGATGTAGTTGTACGCGCATGCATATCTAGTTCTATCAGCTGATTAGTGGCAATGTAAACCCGAACCCGAAGAAACATTGATATCCCAGATTGAATCATCTACGATTCCGTCTTTGCCCCCGTCTCTATCGTCATCTAATGTCAATACCGTCCAAGTCTATTGGGTATCACGAATCCCACCATCTCCGTTCGTCTTATCCAAGTCCGAATTTGCCCAAGGCACTTCCGTCACCGCCATCCGCACCGTCCAGCCATCCATGCAAGTCATCCATGGCAGCAAACTGCGCAGCATACCTCATCCCCTCGCGCCGCCTCTTCTCAACCATCTTCCAGTCCCACGCGCCGTCGTCCGCGACATCGCTCAGATCAACACTCTCGTCCCCGACACCGTTCTCGCCGCCCTGCCATCCGCCCTCGGTCGGCCTGTGCGGCAGCAGCTCGCTCGCCTCGAGAGCGACGGCCGGGTGCACCGTCAACCGCCCAATCTTGAAGACGTACTTGCTCACGCCCGTGGCGTAAATCTTCTTCTCCCAGTCCGCGCTGTTGCTGCTCGCGTCGCCGCTGGCGTTCCTCCGGACCCGCGCGGTGCCGAATTTCGGATCGAGCCACTCTGTCGGCCGCGCGGTGCCCTTGGGGACAAAGTGCGTGACAATGTACAGCCACTTGCGGTCCCACGAGAGGATGCGGGACCACATCTCGTAGGGGGCGTAGGCCGTGATCTCGCGGCGGAAAGAGCAGTGCACGGCGCCGAGCATGATGCCGAGCGGGCCGCGGGCGGGTTTTGAGGTTTTGGGGTCGAGGACGAGTTTTGTTGTCGCGTTGTGGGTGAGTTGGCGGAAGCCGGGGCGGAGGAGGTAGGTGCAGAGGTGGGTGCGGGAGACGTCGAGGTCGGAGAAGTAGGTTGAGTTGGACTTGTGGATGTTGTAGTCTATCTCGGTGATGGGGGCGTGGGATTGGGAGATCATGGGGCGGAAGAGGGAGCGCGGGCCGAGGCGGGGGGATTTGCGGATGAAGAGGTGGTAGATTATCGCGTGCCATACCCGGTACTGTTTGTGAAGGTGTTAGTCTTTTGGCTGTTCTTGTCTTCTGTCTGTAGACAAGAGAGAGGTTGAACATACGGTCCAGACAAAGGGCATGTTCTTGAGGTTCAGCAGAGCAAAGATGAGCATGAGTATGCGGCTGAATTTGCCCGGGCCGGTGAAGAAGCTGGCGAGGACGATGCGCCAGTGAATCTTGTAGGCGGCGTACGCCAGACCGCTGGCGCCGGCGAGGCGGATGAGGCGGACGACGCGGACGGGGACGCGATCGAAGTCGGCCTCGGTGCGCGAGGCCTTTGCGATTGCGGACGCCATCTTGTGTATCTGGTTTGCTGGTGTTGTCTTCTCCTTGAGTGACTGAGACCTTCAGGAGGCGGACGTCTTCTTATCCGCGACGACCGGTGCTTCCCGTCGCCGTCTGGTCGGAGAAGAAGACGGTGAAGATGGGAATATGCGCTGGCGGAGCGCGCCGAGGAGGAGGACGACGAGGACGAAGGCCCAGAGGGGGAGGGAACGGAGGTGGCACCAGAGGGTGGTTGAGCATTGGGCGAGGAGAGAGGTCGCCATGGGTTGGTGATGGGATTTAAATTTCGAAAGGAAATGTAAAGTACTCCGTACGGATATGGATTGCGCGCTTGTCTACCGGGTCCACGGAGCTCGTTTTGCGGGCCTCGCACCCACCCCCCGGTCGCTTTGGTTGGGATCGTTTGTTGGTGTTGTTGGGGTCGGAGCGCGAGCGCAAATTATCGTCGATTGGCAGCGATAAGTGACGGAGGACCCCCACTCCCCAAACGGGGTTCGGTGTTTTTTTCTTAGTGCCAGCGTGCCTGTTTGCCCTGGCGTCACAGCGTGGGATGCGTGCTGCACTGTCATGGAAAGTCTGGGCGAAGCTGCTGGACCTCGGCTCAGCCTTTTAGGTTGTTTGTCACCCCCCCTGAAAAGTTCGATTTCGTGAAATTTCTTCTAGAGCCAAGAGAGAAGCCTGACTGTAGTCGGCCTCGGTCGAATCAACAAGGTTTGTGCCATCGGAGAGTCGGGCTGAATTGGCATTTGATTGCTGACTCGGATCCCTCGGTATTGAAGCTTCTTCATGCCCATCATCTACAGTACACTTTCTGAAATTTTGGAGTTCGTCCACTACGGCAGAGGTGCAGAGCCATACTATCATTGTCTAACTCGAAAGCGCACATATGCTCATTTATCCAGGCAAAGGGCTCGCCGGCGCAGTTCCTACTGGAACATCCCGTTGACTGTCTACCTACCCACGCATGCGCTACCTTAAGGTGAGGATTTGTCGGCTCCGAGATTGCAAGATCCGGCCGGGATACGTGGACCAGTAGTCGGCTCGGGTTGTGAATGGCTGGCGATGACCCATTCGCGGCCTTGCGATCCTATGTCATCGCGCCATCCTACTCACATATGCTAAGCTCCTTTACATGACCATATGACATCGTGTAGCACTATTGAACTTCCCATTCGGATACTCAATTCCATGTTTCCATAGTCTTTCTTGCGAAAGAATTAGGGCTACGAATAGGATCATAGGATGCGCTTGAGGTATGTAAGACATTGGTTCAAGTTGGGAGACTACGGAGTGCACTCACTGCGTAACTACACCACTCCCAATGTGCCAGGGATGATTGAATGATCCTTGCCATGTTTCATCACTAATGCAGTCATGTCCAGATTCGCCGAACTCGAAAACCTTTGCGAGTTCGACTAAATAGGAAATTCACTGCATTTTTAACCCATCTGAGGGATGCGAGACAGAAACAGAGGCCCAATCCCCAGGCTACATGATCTTGTGGAAGACATGACTACCATTCCATCAACATGAATGACAGCGTATGTGGCTTTCTTTTCGATCATGACTGCTCTTGTTGATGATGGAACTTACTGACACGTAGCACCGTCATGTCAGGTTCTCTCAAGCGCCATTATGAACGGCTCCAGAGGCATGGAAGTGCATCAATAAGTGAATATCGCCAAGTTCATAACTTAGGCTAGTTGTGAACCCGCAACCTTTATCTAGAACGAATCTTACATGTACGACCAGCACCACCCCTAAGGGAGTTTAGAGGCAAGTAATGTGAACATGAAGTCTGCCTAGGAGGCCAGAATCCAATTTGACCTCAGCTCTCAAGTCAGATCGCATAGTGACTGGCCGCTGCAACATCAATCTTGATAAGTGGACGATACCAATGAGGCCCAAGGGTCGATTTCAATGCATTAAAGACTAGCAGGAACTATTCCCAAGACATCTCACAGGCTCGTCTCAACAAGTTGTATGCCCAACTGACCGCTTGCCCGCCTGTCAGAACAATCCCATCCTCTCCCTCGCCCCGTCGTCATCCTCAACTTAAGCAAAGCCAGTAGCGATAACCCAGCTCACGTCCGCATTGAAAGAAGTAGCAGAGTCAAAAGTGTGAACACCGCCGTTCCTCGCAGCGTATCCCAGGTTGTTGTAGTGACGGAAGTAGGTGGTAGGGTAGCTCCACGCACGGAACGAGCTGCCGGTGCCGCTGATTCCAGACTGCGTGCAGAAGGTAGCATCCTCCTTGAACTGCTTGGTGCCATCGTTGGCGTTGACGGCCAGCTCAAAGTTGTAGTGGCGGATGAAGCTGCCCGGCGTGTCCTTGGACTCGAATGAGTAGCACCCGCTGTTGCCGAGGCCGGTGCGGACGGTCCAGCTGGCCTGCTGCTTCAGGGCCGTGGTGCTGGACGAGGTGACGACCTGGGTATTGACGGTCGAGCCGGTGTGCGCGAGGTAGCGGTCGGTGTAGCCGGAGGTCGTGGCGCGCAGGGAGATGGAGTTGCCGACGGTGAGGGCGGTACCGCTGTTCAGGGAAGTGGTGGCGTACTTTGCCGCGACAATGTTGGCCTGGACAGAGTTCTCCGTCGCGTCGGAGGGGTAGCCCGAGGTCATGACGCCCTCGTAAAAGGTGCCCTGGGCGCTGACGCTGTTGTCGCCGCCGATGCCGAGGATGATGGCGCCCTCCTTGCTCATGGGGTTGTAGCCCGACGCGTTAGGCCGCACGCCGCTGTAGTACGTGGTCAAGCCTCCCGAGGCGGCGTTGGCGCCGCGGAGGGCCCAGAGGTTGGGACCGCCCTTGACGACGGCGGTGAAGAAGCGGTCCGTGATGGACGGGTCGCCCGCGTTGTTCTTGGGGTTGACGCCGGAGAAGAGGCCGTTCTCGAGATCCGCCATCAACCAGGGTCCGCTGCCGGCACCAGTGCCCCAGCCGGTGCTGTCGCCAAAGTAGATGGCCTCCATGTGGCCGTTGCCCGTGTCGGTGCTGCTGGTCTCGGCGTTGCCGTAGTCGAAGCAGCAGCCGCCGTTGTAGTGAGTTCCGTCGAGGACGGCGTACATGCCCTCGGACACGTCGCCGATGGCGGTGCCGACGGCGGCGTTGTTGCGGTAGCCGGTGCCGGGGGAGATGAAGACGCCGTAGGCCTTTTGGCCGTTGAGAGTGACGGGGGCGCCGATGGCACTGGCGAGGTTGTCGTTCCCGTTGACGTCGGGGCCGCTGAAGGCGCCGCCGGGGGCTTGGGTCAGGTGGTTGCCCTTGCCGGACTGGTCGTAGATGACCGAGATGAGGCAGGTCGTTCCGGAGCAGAAGGTGTCCTGAGCGGCCGCGTTGGCGACGCCGCCGGCGGAGAGGGGCGCAATGTTGGTCGTGGCACCGTCGGAGCCGCGCTTCACCTGATAGAGGGAGCCGGTGTAGGCGCTGTAGAGGGCGCGGGTGGTGCTGTGGGCGGCGATGCAGGGGTTGCCGCCGGAGGCGTAGATGTCACAGGGACCGGCGGAGACGAGGGAGCCTGTGGCCACGAGGGCGAGGCCGAGGGCGTAGCCGCGCTCGCGGATTGGCTTGGACAACATGGCGAAGAAGGAGGGACGACCTTGGATTTGCTGACGGAGAACGGGAGGGGAGTTGTCACTGACGAGGGGAATGCCTGTGAGATCCTGGGGAGACAACTCTCATGATCCGACGACTCGGGGTCATCGTGTGTCTTTTAAACACCGTGAGGTGCTTCACGATGGCACGTTCCTTGTGATCCATCTTCATCTCATTTCGTTGACAATGTCTGTGATATTGGATGAAGGGTCGCACGAGAACCCCAAGCGTCAAGAATTCCCTCCAATGAGCAGAGAGCGCATGTCAAATGCCGCGCTATTACGACCTTCCGAACTGGTGTTATACGTGCGCTTCGAGTCGTAGTGGGATTCGATGGCATGCGTTTGGGTCGTTTCTCCGATGAAGACTCTGGTGCTGGCGGGCAGCGGGGAGGGTGGCCAGATTGGTTCTAGAGTGCGGGGGAATAGTGCGGATGGCCGGCACTGGAGAGTGGTAAGTCTAGAAATGAAGCGATGGACCGATGGAGAGGCATATGGTGCGGCTGTCCGGTAAAGGTCAGAGCGACATCTCTTCTCCCACGTCCTGCGCGGTATACGTCAGGGGAGGGGGCTTGATGGAATCGTGGTATAATCGGAGCTAGTAAAGGTAAGCATTTGCCCAGTCACCTTAGTTGCGGGACATCAACAACCTCCCCGGAACGTTCGACCTGCTTTAGTCTCTGATCTTGGCTTTTGCTTGGCTGTTGCGTCCCGCTCCGCGTCCTCCACACGCGCCTCGGCATCAGGTACCAAGCCCTCAACTGCCATTCATCTTCGCGGTAGTCGTTTTGAAGGTCCAGATGTCATCCATGGCCCTGGTCTCCCCATCATGTTGCCAAGTTCATGCCAAGTTGTTGCCAAGTGAGTAGGCCAATGTGCCCCAGAAACTCGTCAAGTCTTGGCTTTGGGGAAAGAAGAAAGGCCGCGCGGACAAACCCCAGAACCCCAGATGCGACCCCAGACTCGGAGACAGGGGTGGAAAAAGACAAGACGAACCATTTTACCCCGCCGTCGGCCCGTATTCTGGGCAGGGGTTAGGTTCACGTGAGCTCCCTCCCTTGTATGTTTAGCTCACGCTACCTGACGTGTCTAACCTGGAAGCATCTGAAAGTTGGAGCGTTTATTTCACGAACCAAGGAACCCCTCGGTGTTTCCAGCGTGTCCTTGACGCACGAAAGAGGCTTGTTAATAAGCGCTTCCTGGAGAAGCGTAACGGTTCCAAGCGAGCCAACGAACGATCAGTTTTTTGCGACTTGGAGTGACAGATCATGAAGCTATTGACCTTCCTTGCGTCAACGGCTTTCTCAGTAGGATTGATGGATGGTTTCTAGTAGTGGAGAAGGATCACTTAGACTGATCCCCATGCCCACGTCCCGGCGCCATGGGGCGAATGCCGAGGGGCTCTTTACCCCGCGTCCGTTAAGCTATCCAATAACCTCACATCGCAACTTTGATCACTAGACTACTTAGCCGCTACTGTTCCCATGTCTCACCATTGAGCAGCATCATTAAGAATTCTTGCTGCCTAGTGACAAATTGGCAATCGCAGAGAGCAATGCAAACGTTTAGATTCAAGCGTGAGATCGGCAAGAGAAGCACGCCGGAATATGATGGGACGAGGCCAGTGATGCCATGCGCTGAGCTATGCCTGCGCTGATCTCCCGTCTGAATGTTCTTGGCAGGAGCCGAGCCAATCATAGATGCATTGAGAAGACTTCGACAGCTGAAATCCAGCAAAGCGTTGGCGAGACCACCCTTTCGACAAGTTTACTGAACTAGGGACCCGGGAAGGATCGAAAAGATCCGTTTGAATATGCGCTCCATCCCAAGTCTGTAGCATTGACATCCGCAGTGGGTAAAGGATGCAGGTTGAATCAGAGTATCATTGAACAACCAGTTACCAGGAACACGTACCGCCCCGAGGACAGGTTCTAGTGTCGCTTAGCAGACATTGAAGTCACAGAAGATTTCCTTTAATGATCTAGGTTCTATCATATTCTTCGGGCCAGACCTCTCGATGCCTTGGGGTAAAGCTGCTGAAACATGACGCTCTTGACAACAGTTCATGCCCTTACCCGCCTCTACGGATGCTCTCTATTGGTTTATCGCCCCTGACCCTTGACCCTTGACCCCATATCTCAGAACGTAGTCCAGCCCTGAGGTCTCTTCGCCCGTGCCTCTCCGTACCTCAACCAAAACGCCGCCGACTCCACTGAAGCCATCCAACACAGGGCCGTCAACATCTGTCTCCTCCGTCCTGTCCTCCAGCTCTCATTCTGGAGAAGCCAGCGCTCGATCAGGCAACCAACGCCTTGCACCATGAACACAGTCCACAGGCCCACAGCCTGTACCCACGCATACTCGTCCAGCGTCAAGACGACCCCGCACCAGGCATGCCAAACTCCGCTGAGACCAAAAGCCGCGAGGACACCGGCAGCCTTGCCGGCATCTTTCCCAAACAGACGTGTGAAGAGGGCTCTGGCGGGAACGTACCCTAGGTGTTGAAGGAATGGCTGTGCCCCATGGTGCCAATGAATGGCCCAGAAGCTAGAGAAGCTATCTGCTGCCCACGGCTGGAAGAAGAGCTTGTTGGGGCAGTGGGGATGGAAGATGAAGTGAATGCCCTCTAGTCCATACTGAATAGCAAGCAGGCCACACATGACCTTTAGTTCCGTAACGGGGAATAGATATGTCAGAGGGACCACGAGCAGCGGACCGTAGGTCCAGGCCGCGCTTTTTGGGATGCTCTTTCGCTTCGATTCATCCACGGCGATATTGAAAGACGCATACCTAGTCTCCGACCCAAGCCGCCAGACATACGAAGCAACAGGCCTCCAGCTCGTCAGCCCGTAGACCACTTCCTCTTTCCCATCCCGTGGGACAGGCGGCTTCCTCGCTCGCGCGATTGTCAAGTCCCAGCACTTGCACGCGTAGAAAAACGTCGGTATGCGCAGGCAGACCTGGGCAATCACGTCGTCAGTCGGCATGAGCAGCGGGAGCGCCATGACGTAGGCGCCCGCTGCCAGGCCCGTCGCCCGCGTCACGAAGACTGCATGCTCTTTGGGGAAGAATCGAAAGGGCTCGAGGCCACGTCCCTTCTTCCGTGCGAGGCGCGCTTGGAGTCTCCAGTCTTCGATGGCGGTGAGAGCAAGGCCGATGAGGGAGGTGAAGTAGAGGACGATGCTCGTGGTGAGGTGAACGAGGAACGATGTGCTCGGGTTGGTGATGAATTCGGAGTTGTATAAGGAGCCAGTTGTCAGAATAGCCGATCCTAGGAAAATGACAATGTACCAAGCCAGCATGTCCCCCATCATGAAATTCCGGAGAAAAGAAATGAGCGAAAGTGCATGAAGTTGAAGATCCCGTTCTGGTCACATCAATGACGCGGGTCTCGTCAAGTAAATAACAGGTGGCTAAGTGCGTTACTTTAGGCGGCCAAGTGTAAGCGCTAGTGACTATTATGATAGTAGTACACGCGTTAGAAGGGTATACTCTCTACTACGATATCTGACAAGGATGAAGGCGGTAATTTGAACAGGCCAGAGGTTCCACAACATTGTACCTGACGGAGAATTGGATGTTAGGATGAGGAGGTAGCGAGGAAGTTAAATATCTACATGGGTGTAGCCAAGTTCTGGTATTACTTAGTACAAGCATTTTGGTGTCTATCGAACATTCTGGCATGAACTTTTCTGACGAGCTATTCAAGTTCCAATGTACTTACTCAACGTTAAGTTCAGTTTCAACTTTCATCGGAACCAAGCTCCCGAGGATTTCAACTTTACAAAACATTCGTCATGGTAGTTTTCACATGGTAGATCAGTGGGTTCAAGATTGATAAGGGGCGGGCAGTTTTACACGTCTCAACGGCTGAGCCCTATCTCATCAACTACAGAATATCGTCAGTAAAATGATTTGTATAAATTTAGAGTACGGAAGAATAAAACGTTGCTTCGAGCCTGTTCCTGCTATACTGTTATATTAAGTTCCGTAATGGAAGGAATTTGAAGAAAATTTGGTTGGAAGTTATTGTGCACACGCCATTCGCAATTGATAGGATAATTAGCATTTTGGGTAGAATTGATAGCACGCACTGAGGTAGCTGAATGGCTTTATGCAGTATAACTGAGTTGTCTGCGTCCTTCAGACTTGACTATCAACAATAGCAGAGGACTACTTGAGCTCATCCTCGCGTCTTTGGAGCAACAGCACCAGAGTTGAGGTGTTTGTTTGTTTTGCCGCAGCTGGTGTGTCATTTTCAGGTCCAATATCACACACAACATGATACATTCAGCTTACGAACATGCTTCCATTGTCATGGAAATACGTTCGGCAGAAATTATATTCTTACAGAGCGAAGCATATAACGAAACGTATATGTCCCCCAGCCAAGTTCGCCGCCTGTCCCTACTGGTGCCCACTGAGCAAGATCATAGTCACTCTTCTCAACCTCTTGGAATCCAGCCTTTTCGTAAAGTTTGTAACTTGAGGGCGAGGCATGAATCCAGCATGCAAGATTCTGTGAGTCGACTTCCTCAAGTCCATGCTGGACCAGCCTGGTCCCGATGCCCCGACCTTGGAACTCGGGATGCGTCGCCAAGGCTTGCAGAACCATGTACTTGCTCCCTCCCATGTGTTGAGATTCCCATGAAGTCATCTCTTTGTGCATGATTCCACCCAACACTCGCGCAGGGTCTCGAGGAGCATCATCGGCAGGGCGTGCTTTCTCCTTGCGATGGTTTGGATCAGAGGGTGCCTCAGAGGACTTGTTCTCCTCCAGGTTCTTCCGTTCTAGTTCCTTCGCAACCCAACACGACCAGCCGAGGATGTTTCCATTCCCCTCGACTGCTTTGAAGATCTTGGTAGTAGAGGGGTTCGATAGCCAGTGAAGGATCGACTTGCGCATAAGGTTTTGGTGGGCGCCTTCTTCACGACCCACAAGCATTAAGTTCGAAAACGGGTCGGATGTGAACGCGGCAGTATGGATCGTGACGAGGTCATCGATGTCACTGGGTTCCACCGCACATATTGATACGTTGTATTGGGGTTCTTTAGAATCTTGATCGCTCATGGTGGTAAAAGCTCCGTGCTCCAGTGGTATGAGAAACTCAGCGAGGGTAGTATCCAGTGTGTACATCCAACAGTCGAATTCAAAAGCGTGCAGTTGGGAAAAAAGAAGGTCAAGATGCGGGGTAGCTGTGCAGTAGGCAGCAGGCTCAACGCAAAGAACCCCGGTCACATAAGCCCTGAGGTAGAATTATGCCATTCAAGATTAGAACCAATGTACCTATTACCTATCTGTTGATAAATGCAAGATTCAAGTCGCCTCACTCGCATAACATTCAGCACAGTCTGAAATCTGAGGATCATCAACAATGCGTTCATTGTAGCCCTTGAACTCCTGATCCTTTTTCAAGCAATCATTTCGTGGAACTTATGACAGCTTTACAGGACCTTCGGAGTTGACGCAGACCTAATCGGATAAGCTCGCTGGGTCGCTCAGGTATATTCTGATATGCCAACGTACTCTGCACTCGACTTCTTCCACACTCGAGCTGGTGATAGCAGCAAATGCCACTGAAAATTTAGCTTGATCGCAGAGAGATGCTTCAGGGCATAAAAGGGGGTTTCCCGTAGTACTGAAATATTCATCTCTTGGTGGGTTGAGGGGAAGAGTGATCGCAGCAAGCGATTTGTAACGAGAGGAGACATGAGCCTTTCTGCATGTGTTCACTGGAAATATGACAACTCCATATGATTTCATAATCGGGCCTGGCTTCTCTTTGAACCACTGCCATTGGTTTCCTGTCTTCAGTTTGCAACTTTACACAAGGTTTGGTGCTAGGTTATCGGGCCGACGTGACTATCAATAACTAAAGTGAGTACGCTTGGCAAAATTTGTCACTGCCAAAACCAACCCACCGGGAGTGTCGTGCAGTCGCGACAGTTGTGGTAAGTTCCGCGAAATGTTCAAGCCTACCAGGGTCTGCAAGTCGAATCAACTTGACAACTAGAATAGCCTGACAATGGCACATGCTGCGAAGTCCTAGCCTCGCGCGATGTAATGACAGAAGCCCATCGTGATGTTCCCGAGGCTAAGAAGAACCATCAATCGTCAACCCCGACCTACCTAGAGAGGAGGCATCGAGAGAAGTCATCCGTCCACAACATCAGACTTGCTCAGATGATTAGTGAGCCGATAGGTCAAGTATATCATCATTGCTGCCACCAAAAAACATAATTGAGGTTTGGCGTTACCTAATAGAGGGACTTGGTCTGCGAAAACAAAGGGGCTTGTGGGGTCATCGAGCACGAATGATGCAGAAGACCGAACCTTGAACTTGTTAATGTGCATTTGCCTCTGGACTACTGCAGGAACCGGTAGCGTAGATTGATTCTCAAAAGATCTGGTGAAGCCTGGTCGGACCATACGTTCATTGTTACACTGCACCGAAAGAAAAAGGAGAAAAACTAGCAATGGTACCTGACCAGAATTGCCAAAAATATAGATAGCGTGGTGGCTTGCCATGCAACTACGATGAATCTGGTCTAGCTTCGGTCAACATCAACACAGCTGGACAAGCTACCTTACTCGATGAAAGCAACCAGCTGCTATTGTGGCAGCTTCCACAGACCATTGAATCCGAGTCGTCATCCCGATTTCCGAGGGCTTCTGTTGCACGGTCGCTGACGCGTGTTCATCACTGGGACGACGACGGCCCGTCGAGCATCAAAGCCACAAGAAGACCCCGACTCTTGGCTTCGCTGGGCGCCATCGGCAGCCAGCTCGCCGTGCACGCTGACATGCTTGGCACGGATGCCAATACCTCGGATTCTGCACAAACAATGTTTACTTGCTGTCACTCAACGCGGGCAAACAACGAATATGGGCCTTCACGTTGCGGCCGCAAGCCCAACATATGACCCTAAAGCTTAGTAACGCGCATAGATAGGCGGCTGCGAAAAGCCGTTTTAGGATTTTGAGGGTAGTTTCTCGCCTTGACCGGTCAGAGTTACACGGAGTCTCATCGTCGAGAAGTGGATGTGTGCATAATCGTATCTGCACCGTTTAGGTAGAGCAGGCGAGACTCACAAGTGACTCCACCCTCTCTCGCGGTTGATCTGATGATTCCCACCTTTGCCCTCAGTCGGCCATTCTCCTCATAGAACCTCAGCTCACCTGAAAGATGCTAATTGATGCAGCGTCTGTCTAACGGCTAGCTAATGGGGTCATATCATGCTCGGTCAACCTAGACTAAGTCTAGCTTACAGGAACAAGGATCAAAGCGCTACAGGAGATCCCGAGTTACCCGCTCTGGCGTTTTCGGGACGAATTGGGACAAAGCCATCCATTTAGAGCCGCTTCACAGTTGGTTCGATCAATGAATCAGGGATAGGGCAACAAAGGAAAAGTTTCCAGATCCCAATAGAGCAACTCTTGAAACATTCCACTTTCTTTGTGGGATCGACATACCCGCTGCCCCAGACTGCCGTTACTCGCGAATCGCGAACGCAGTAAGCGGGACGGTGCTTCAGGAGAGTGACGATGTGGACCTCACTTACACTGGCCTTTCTCGACTCCGGTCAGGTTGCCGACACTATGGATTGGACTGCACGGAGATCGGTCTCACCGTTCACTAAGAGCTCTGACCTCTGGTAACCTGAACTACGGATACGATGGACCACACTTCTGGGAGGTGCTCAGAGCTTGTACGAGGCGCCAGTCGGCCAACGGGTGCCGCAATACGCTCCAAAGAAGAAATGTCAGCTCAATGTGGTCTAAACCCGCGATGTCAAAATACGCCGCCACATATGGCCGCAACAACGGTATATAACCAGCACTCTTCTCTAGGTTCATGTTGTTATTCTCTCTTCATCCCAGCAGCTTCGATCACTTCTCACCTTGAGCATCACATTCTCTTCTGAGCCAGAGTATCTCCTTCAACAACATTCATTCAAAGTTTCTGCTTCCAGCTCAACGCGAGCCTCGTATCATCAACATGCGTTACTCCTTGAACATCATCGCCCTCGCGGCTCTCGCGTCGGCCGCGCCCACCACCACCGCGCCCATGGACTTCGATGCCATCATCGGTGCCGCTGCACCCACCCTGACTGGACCTCCTGCCCTGGCCACTGGCCAGACTGGCGTCTACGACGCGGCTGCTGCATCTTCATCCGCCGCCGCCGCTGTCACCGGTGTCGCTTCTGCCAGTGCCACTCAGTCCGTCGCGGCTCGTGGCCTTGACAAGCGCACTTTCTGCTTCTTTGGCTTCTGCTGGGGATCTCCCTCCACCACTTCGTCCGCCAAGACTACTTCGATCTGCACTACTTCCACCACTCCCGCTGCCGTGACCACTCCCAAGACTACCGCTCCTGTCACAACTTCGGCCGTGACCACTGCCACTGCCGCCACCATCACCACTGCTCCTACCGCGCCTTCGACCTGCACCCCGGTCAGCTGGACCAACACCTTCGCGTTCACCACTGCTTCTGGTTGCGCCGAGCCTTTCGAGGTCGGCACTTACTGCGGTTTCATTAACCCTGAGGACCCTTGCGCTGTCCAGCCCGATGGATACGGTACTAAGGTCCAGCCCGACACTGTCGAGGCTTTCCAGTCTTTCGCTCAGTTCCACAAGGAGGCTCAGTCGGCCGCCAACCCTTCCGGATACGCCAACACCTTCAAGGACCTGAGCGCTGCTGTAAACGCCAACAGCTACCTCGGCCTCTACACCCTCAAGAGCTACGACGTCGCCGCCTGCGCTGCCAAGTGTGACGCCACCAACCTGTGCACCGGTATCAACATCTACGTCGAGCGTGACCCCTCCATCAACCCCTCCGGCTGCTCTTGCACCAACCCTGCCTCCATCTCCAACTACAAGTGCACTCTCTGGGGCTCCGGCGTCGACAAGGCTGCTGCTGTCAACACTGGCCAGACTCGTGATGGCTTCCAGGTCGTGATCACCGGCTCCAACGGCTACGAGAAGACCAACACCACCACTCCCACCACTCCCTCTGGCTGGACCAACCCCCAGGGCTGCGGCGGTGTCGTCCACTCTCACCCCAGCACCTGCATGGGACAGAAGTTCTTCCCCGGTCCCTTTGATGCCAGCCTCTGCGCTACCTACGCCGCTGCCCAGAACGTCCAGAACTCCAAGTCTGTCGGCCTCGGCTCCTGGGCCAGCTTCCTCGGCTACAGCCCTCTGAAGTGCAACTTCTTCAACGCCTTCATGGTCAAGCAAAACGGTATCGCTAAGGGTACCTACTGCAGTCTCTTCACTCAGCAGTACAATCCTTCTGCTGCTTCTTACACTCCTTCTTTCTCCGCTGGCTTCTCCTGGAGCATTGAGAGCTCCTGGTCCTTCTGCTCCAAATAAGCGGGGTTTCCGACAGATTCGCCTGTTATTCACTCATTGATCTAGAACATGGTGTCGGTTGTAGACTTTGCATAGTCCGGATTGTTAGTCACTACGTTCGTTGATACTGTACATTTAAAGATCATGGCAACTAGAGTGGGGGATTTCTATCACATATTTAATTTAATTAACCTTCGTTCTGCAAATCTGTCTCACTCTTGCTCCGCAATGTGCCATTAGCTTTGGGGACAAGCCAGACTCACTAGCAAAAGCCTGTTCGATCTCTCACATCAGAGTGAACTAATTGTAGGCACCAAACTCAAAGCAGTATGTGTACGAGTCTCTTAGCACGACACTTAAATACGTAGATAAAGGCACATCACGCTCTGGTGATATAAAAGGGAGAGTAGAGCCCCCTACCTTCAACAAAAAGTGTCTCGAGTGTCACACGATGCGGGGTTCATTGAAGCGGATCGACATGCAAGTTTCTTAACAACCAGTTTTATATACACCCTATCTAGTGTAGCCGGCAAACCGACTGCAATCAACACTTCAATGTTCTCTTACCACGTAATACAGAATCCGTCGCGTAACGAAAGATCGTATCATAGGATCCGCAATGATACGTAACTCTCTTTGACGTAAATTGGAAGACTTTCCATTGAGCATGAGCAATCCTCGTATACTTCCAGGTCTCATCGACCAGATTAATACTCGATGAGTATGTCCAAGACGAACACTTACTGCAAAACTGCGAGTATTAAACCTTTAATCTTCTTCTATAGCATTTTGGCTCATTGCAGTCAATAAATCTGAGCTCTTGGTACGACTCAATACCAACCTGCCAATTCTGCAAACTTGGCCCCTGGGCCTGCCATGCCACTGCTGACGACATGGGTGAACACCCACCTTGGATTCACACTCAATAATATCGAAGCCTTTATGCCCGTAGCCTTTATCATCAAAGAAGCCATTCCCGAGAAACCCATCGCGGAAACTTGGGTGACCGTGGTGACGGGAGCAGGAGGCGATCTCAAGGATGCTGGCGGCGTCTTTCCTGATGTTGCCATTTGAGACGACAATGGCAACAGAATAGGACGATACCGCACCAAGCTAGGCGACAAGAGAGCCCAGAGCAGCGCGCGAGCCGTCAAGATACCGAATAATGAGAACAACGGGCAGATATCCGATCCCCAATATGTCATGTTGAGTCACGATACCGACGCAACATGCATTGCGATGGTCCAAGTTTCCAACGGCCGACTCAGTGGGACGGTCTTTGGAGACACTTGATACAAATGCGACCAAGCATGGTACTACAGCCAACGGAAGTCCAAGTGTGATAACCTCATGACCAAGTGTGTATGGTTGGACTCAGATCACTCCCATCCCAACTTCAACGCCAGGGCTATGAGTTTTCACCTCAGAGACATGCTGCCTTCGCCTGACAAGTAGAAATTGTACAATAGCGAGTTGTACTACCTGTGTAAAAGCACACCTCGGTACTCTTATTGGCGGCATCTCATACCAGACGGCGTTTTCCCATTCTTCTACCCAGTCTTGAAGTACAACAAGGACACCGTCAATCCGAAACTAGAAGGCACAGATGAAAATTCTATCGAAGCACTGGATCGCTTCAAGTACAATAAGGACGTATACAAACAGCAGGGTGAATCGGAAAGGGAGTGTCGAATGAAGAGAACTCGTTCTACACGCTTGTGCAAGAGACAAGGCTCGGACATGGATCCTGACAACCAAGTCTTGACTGGAATACCGGGTCAGACGGCCCGGGAGGTCTGCGAACACCCCAACTCAGTCGGGTATGACATTGTCTCGTTCGTCGATAGGAAAAACTGCGATCTCACAAAAAGGAATTTCTACGATCTTTGTGCCGGTAGCATCACGACTAATTGTTTCGACGTCAACAATACGACTGTCATTGGAGCTTAGGGTCTCACAGGGAGGAGCAGAAACACCTCCAAAAGGCAAATCGCAAAGCTTTACAAAACACGAGCTCACTGGAAATGAATGTTCGTACATGTTGTTTTTGGGCTTTCCGTCAACTTGTGAAGCGTTGTGGGCATTCTTGGGTGATATGGGAAGATATGCGTTTCTAGTTCGATGTTACCATACCCAGTTGAACAAAATCTGAGTCATACACACGCTTACTACTTGTCCATGTCACTAGATGTCTGATTCAGGAAGACATGGAGGTTAGAGATCACGCAAACTCGTATGCATGTAATAGGGGTACACTCCGGCAGCAGCTTGGGACTCGGAGCAAGTATACATGCCCATCCTCCTGCTGTCTATCCGTTCCCACCTTCCTCTTCCGGCAATCGAGCCGGCACGGAGATCGAAACCCTCACAGTTCTCCCCACCTCTCGGCTCTCGGGCCTCGCCTTGGCGGACGAGTTCCTCAAAGTATTGTACGTGACGAGCAGCATTGGTACCTGTTTGATATCAATGGCCCGCGATAATTGCTAAATAGTGACTGAAACGAAGGAAGAGGTAAAGCAAGGTAGCGAGTGTTCAACGAGATCGAACTAGGTGTCACGAGTTTGCGGGCGGTGCAGTCAGTTGGCCTCTCTAGAACGCATAGTATCGTTCGAGGGCGAGCGATTCGAGAGTTAACGAGCTTCATCGCAAGTGCATAAGCCAATTTTGGTGGTTGGATATTCTCTATATGCCGACTGTCATGAACGTAGTAACTCCCGCATGGTCTAAAACAAAGCGATTGGATTCGTTGAGTTGGCAGTCCGTTGCTGCGCCACGTCCCAATGTTCCATAACGCAAGTCCCGTTGAATCTGAAAACGTCCACCACGGCAAACGGCTGCCCTCCACCCACGAGATCCATGCGGTAGTGAATAAATGCGATGTTGTCCTGGAAGTTCTTGTTCATGATTGTGTAGTTGACCGTGTTCGGGGAAATGAAAGGCTCGAGGACGGCAAGAGAGTTCGCGCGGCCGGAGAGAGCGCCAGGGTTGTGCTGGATGTAGTCCTCGGCGACGTGGTTCAGGAGGGCCTTGGTTGCGTTTCTTTCTTCGTAGAAGGCTTGCATGAATTCTCCGAGAATGACCTTTTGCTGTTCTGGTGTTGCCGGGCGAGGAGGGCAGTACGGCGCGGAGCCTTGACGCGGGGCGAGGGCACTTGTTGTCCAGGCGAGGGCGCTGACGCCGAGAGCGAGTAATGAAGATGTACGCATCGTGCTGTGTTTTTGTGTGTTGCGATCTTTTGACGTGTTTTGTTTTTCCGTGTGGTAGATGCGTAGAGCGATGTCTTCGAGGGCGTCGATCGGAATGATCTTATACACGAGGCGGGCTGCAGAGGAAAGAAATGCCGATAATCAGATAGATTAAATGGCTCTTGGTAGGAGAAATAGCAGGTTGCAACACTGATAGGAGTTCATCCAAACTGCGCCATGTGCCTCAATGCTAAGAACTTTATTACTATAGACCCTTGTTGATCCCTGCTCAATACCATTGGCAAGGACCAGAACTGGGAAGTCGCAGTTGGATTAGGGAATGACCAATGGTTGAGTGAGCGTTTTACTCATGACATCCTATTTGTAAAGCCGACGGGATTACTTGAATTTCGAATACTCAGTGTCATTCTGGTGCTGCCTCGAAGGAAACGATTATCTTGAGAGAACATCGACCCCTCAATCGCTCAGAACTCAGAATTGTGTTGCAATAGTGTCCGATCGTATACTTCAATCCTGCAAGATTGACTATTCGAACGATCTGAAGTGCAACAGACGAAGCATGAGCTCGATTCTGGAAGCATTAAAGAATGGGGTCCCCTGGTGACGATCCTCAGCCCATCGGCACAGTGCCGAGCAAGGCCCGCGGTAGCGCATGGTTTCTAGGTTTCGGGAGTGGATACCGAGGCAGATGTTCCTGGACTAAGTCATCTATATCTTTCTTGACACCGGTTGACTAATCTGATGTGATGACAAAAAGTGCGGGAAACTGGCATCAAATTGATTCCGATAGGCGGTGTTCGCACCTATATCGAGACCGCAGAGAAATCCTACCTCACTAAAGGTACCCAGTAAACAAAGCTGCATGCATATGACACTAAGACGGCCCAAGTTCTAACGTGGGCTATCTGCAACATGCATGAAGACCACATCACCAACATCGCCGGGATTCTCATTGTCAGAATATCACAAAGCAAAACCCAAAAGGGCGTCCCGAAAGCTACTCACGCGCGGTTGTGACTCGAAATATGTCGACTGGCTCCGCGACGGCCACTTTCGAAACACAGGCAAGGAGCAATGCAACATAGACGCTTCCCACGCCGAGAGCGCCCAAGACGAACACCAGATCGGAACACTTGACCGCAGCTGTGCCATACGCACAAGGGAACTGGCTGTAACTGTCACCGCGGTGGAATTTCCAACTTCCGACTCTTTTATTGCGATTGTGAACCAGCTCCGGGTCATTTAAGTCTCCACTCCGGTTCTCGAGTCAGCATCGGCGTTTGCAACGTGACCGGGCCTGAGCACGCAGCCATTGACACGGCATCTTAAAGGCCGAAACGAGTCAACAGAAGCAGGCAGTCGCTCGATAGCTCGTTTCAGGGGCTTCCGTCTTGTGAAAGTGGAGTGACATATTGCTAAATACTAAGCAAACAGTATATCGAATCGTGTCTTTAGCTGATGAAGACATTCTCTGACGGGCTGACGGCGCATGGATGGGAGGAAAGCCAGTTCTCGACGCCTTCGACGTCTTTCTTCCGAGAAATTCATGAAACATATCAGCCGATCAATGCTCAGTACCTTACTACTGACTTATCAGCATTGAATGATTATAGAAACACTCACCATTGTCCTCTGAATTGCCCAAAAGCTCGTCGAGCAGGTTAGAGCAACTCTCTATATGCTCATCCCAGAAGGCACTGGTTAAAGGGCTTGGCATCACTGCACTGTCAATCAATCCGATCAAGCATTCATTTGAGGCCCAACGTTCAGTTGAGGCCCAAGAAGGAATGATGCGCAAAAGTGGCCGAACTTGGA